CTGAGTTCGTGTCCTTGAAGAACCACTATGGAAGTTTCTATGCTACTTCTGGTCAATGGACATATTGCCGCTGCAAGCCATAGGGAGTTATAGGCCGTTTAGAAAAGCTAGAGGATAAAGCTAAGACAGTTGAGGGAACCTTCAATGCGGCGCCCACATCACACGGCCTCTGCAGTGACTTGCAGGAGCCAGCCGATGTGAAAGTCAGTGTTACCTCCCAGATAAATGTGGTACCGATTTATTGTTTCCTGAGAGCAGAAGGCCTGGTTGAACTGGGGTGGAGCCAATCCGGGATTTGATATAAAATTCATGCCACTTGCCAATACATAACCTTCGCTATCATAGATTGTTATTGGAGAAAATATTATACACTCACCTTAATACCAGCTGATTGGCACAGCTGAACAGCTTGCGGAACTCCAGGTCGCGGTGGGTCAATCATTGACATCAAGCCAAGAAATCGCAGATCTAAAGCTAGTCTTCACTGGCAGTCAGCAAAAGTCACATTCTTTAGAGGTAGATTCACACGTGATGAGGAAGACAACTTCACTCCATCTCCCAGAGATGGCGAGGGGGAGGGTTCCCCACTAGAAACAAAGAAAAAAATATTGGGAAAAGAAAACACTCCAAATCACAGATAGTCTATTTCGCCTCTTACTCCAGACCGATCATTACTGTCTCGCCAACCCTCGGACACTCCGGTACCCCATCTCCGGGATTTTGAGAACTTCATAATAAATTCCTGAGAGAATCCTCACTAGTAAGCGGAAAGTTCGGGTTTTCTGTGTCGAAAACGAAATTCTTAGGGAACTTCTCTGGATCCATTTCCAAGTCGCAGAAACCCAGCACGCGTTCTCCGAAGCCTCCTAACGTTTCATAGGCCTATAAGAGGGTATGATATGGTAATGAAATACGCATCTGTTTCCCGGTGCAAAACTGGAAATTAAAGGGGCAAATATGAGAACGTACCCTAGTGAAGTCATCTTCAAATTTCTTGTCTTTTTCTTTTTCGTTTCCCTCGTGTAATAATGTCGAACATGCCTTGAGGATCTTCTCTGGTGCCCCCTTCATTACCAATAGATATCGGTCGCCATTTTGATGAATGGAGACCTGAAACAAATGGTCCATAGATCAAGGCGCAACTGCGGTGAGGGTGTGCTGGGAGGGTCATAAAGGACATTTGTCTTAGCGTCCAAGGCGCTAAGGCGCCTCCATACCTTCCCAAATATTTCAAAAAAGACTCGAGTCTTCGGTAGTGACCGATTAAAACCGAGGCTTCATGGGTAGAATTTCAAGATGAGCTTTGTTTGGCTCGTACATGCCAGTAGACCGGGAAGATATGACTCGAATTTTGTTCTGTGCAGGTCGAGGGTGGGTCTGTGAAGCTAGCCGAGGAATCTACCTAGTTGGAAAAGATCACTAGTTGTAGGAGAATAATACATGTCGAACGAGGGATTCTCAGAGAATTTTGCTCCCCTTACAGTACCTCGCGAGCACTGGTACCGCTGGGAAGGTACAAAAACTGAAGATCTTAGGGGTAGGGTATTTGGGGTCTGACTAATGGTAGTTACGAGCACCGCTTCAATCGGCGCAATAGTCGGGGCAGTCTCATACACGATACTTGACACCGCCCCACGTGACAACGTAATACTGGTTGGTTTCTTTCTGAATCGACCACTAACCCATTACTACTGGTAGAAGTACTGAAGGAGGAAATCTGAACAGGCGATCGCAATTCGAGAAATCCCAGCAGGACCCACGGTACCCTAGGAGGAGAATAGCGAAAGCTGTCTCACTGGAAGAAGTTTTGTTCTGCGAATAGTACCTGATACTTGTTGGTAGAATTGAAGGGAATCTCTGCAACTTTCGGTTTTTTGTCACGCATCTTCTGTGTTCCTCCATTGCCAAGGATTAGCTCGCAGTATTTCATAATGGCCGTTCTCGGAGGCATCGCCAGATACTTCTCTTCTAGGGAGTGGTACCGAGAAATCTTCGTTCTGAAACATTCTCTGTGCAAATTTCCCCTTCAGAAGGCTTCAACCTTGGCATCCCTAGAAATTCAAAGAGACAGTGCACGATTACTCGCGGAGTGCTATTTTATGGGATGGGCAGGTCCGCAGTGCACGGAAGTGAAGTTGGACGATAGTGGTTGCTGGATTTCCCTCACGTCTCCAACTCTCTTCCAATCGCAACGCGCGACACATCGCGGTAATGTTGCAACACGCCCGCTGCTGGACCTGGGCGACCAAAGTCTAGTATCGCACCTTTTCCGAAGTCGGGCTGTAGAGAAGAGCGGCATCAAACCAAAGGCGAGATGGTGAGGACAAGTAGCGCGTCGGGTCATAGCTAGGCGCGTGGCTGCCCGTGCGGCGCGTTGCGTATCTACGGTCTGCTCGGTCTGTGGCGGCGGCAAAATGTCATAACTGTCCACTTCCATTTCCGCACAAATTCTACTGGCCGAAGTAGTATTCTGGTGCAGCTACGAACCTGCCTTCTTCGCGCGTGGGAGAGATCAATCCCGCACGTGATTTGTCTTTAAAGGCTTCGTCAACACTGTTTTACTTGCAAACCATTATGTATTCACTACTGGTGCGCCCCCTGATTTCCAAGTGGGCAAAGGGAGGAGTGCGCCAGTGGAGAAGTGCAGTGGTGGGCCTGAATCCGCCCTACTTACGACAAGCATTTCAACGACGGCATGGACGCCAGCCTCTTCGATGATTAAGACAAACCTTGAATTTGCTTCTGCTGCAAAGTACTGCACATCGAATCAATAATTTGAAAGTGCCTTCCATACGATGTATCATCTTACCACGCATCTTCCCGGTAGGCAGACATTGTTCGGCCTCATCAATTTTATCGTCGCACCTGTGAAAATAACATGGATTCATGCTAAATGCTAACACTTCAGGACCTTCTTCAACAATTACTCCAAAAGGAGGCTGGGAAAGCGGATAGAGGCTGAACCAGGGTGCAGCATCGTGATGTGTGCAATGGCGCTGTTCGACACTCCTCCAAAATTTCCCCCATCTGCACGACCTTTT